TCTTCTTTTTAATAAGTCAGGCAATCTTTGCTGCACAGGACATATCGTGTAGTGTTTAGTGGTGCATTTTCAGACATGAAACATGCAGTATTGCCTGTATACTCCTCTCCATATCTGGCGATTTACAATTTTAGTGTCATGAATTCTTCTTAAAAAAGTATTTTTGATCATTTCTTACAATCTTTCCATTTACAGCCTAAAAATTCTCCAACTTCTTAGAAAATGCAAAGAAGAAAACTCATGAAAGTATTTAATAATTATAAACTGCTCAATGTAGCATTGCCTGCCAGCTTACTTGATCATTTTTTTCTGGTTGAAAATCATCATTAATTGCCCTTTTAACAAACTGTTGTTGGGACAACAGCCAGCACCCATCCCATCCTTCTCCATTATTTTTGCAGTGTGACAGTCCATAAAAAGTATTTATATGAACAAAAACGGTCATCCCAGTTCTTCCATCAGTTGATCACTGGGGATTTAAACTCTCTCATAAGTCAAACTTCAATCATACTGAACTCTTTTTAGGTCTAATAAGGCAAAACCGATTCCAATGGAGAGAAGAGTACATCTATTCTGCTGGCACATTTACAAGTATAACACATTTTTATTGAATTACATTCAAAATCTGTTTTAAAGATCACAATAGCTCTGAATAACAGATGACTAACTCATCAGAGCAAAAAAAAAAGGATTTTTTACATTCAGACATATGGGATTTTCCTTCTCTTGCGCTGGCCCTGCACATATTTTCCATTCATGACTGAAAATTTTGGACTGTGTAAGGCTTCTCCATCTTTACTTTCACTTTAGACTAGGTAAATATTGTGGTGCTTAATGGTTAGCAATTCAGTCCCTGGCTCCTCCACATCGTGAGATGCCCTTAGCAAGATGCTGAACTGAAGTTGCTCCCGACAGCAGGTGAGATCTTTGGACGCCACCGCTGTGCAATTTTGCGTGGACGAGTGAGGCAAAGTGTTGCAAACAGCTAATGTCATGCCCTACATTATCAAAGTTCAGTTATTTTAAATGAATCATGTAGCTAAACTATAGAGTTTCTGATGTGTGATTTGCCTGCGTTCGGTTGGGTTTGAAGGTTAAAGTGAGGATCGTGTCTTAGTATGAGATAAAGACTTGGGGAAAGCCCAACAACTCTACAGTGGATGTGATGGAAGTTGCAACAACAGAGCACTGTTTGAATACTCAAGAGGGAGCAATAAAAGGGGAGAACAAGAGAAAGCCTGCAGCACATTCCCCAAAAGACACTCACTTCCTGCCTGTGAGTCTTACCCAGCATCCAGGAGGAAGAGGAGGTTAAGCGCCCGCCCACACACACACACACACAAGACACACAAACCTACACCTCATCATATAGGTATAGAAACAAGCCACTAAATGTCTATTTAGAATTTCTACACTGCTTAAAAATAAAATGTTTTCATTCCGTCCCACAAATTCAAAAATTCTGAACTAGTACCAGTATCTTCAGATCCCCTAGTGTCTAAAATAACTTCATTATAATGCTGAAAATAATTGAAAATTCTCTCAGTGTCATATGCAGCGGTTTTTCCATTTAGAAATAAACCTAACCAATAGTGTGTGGTTTAGAAGCAGGAAAACAAATTAGTTCAGTGACAAAAATGATTCACTTAGTCTAATTGTAGGCTGCTGTCACAGTTACTCAGCAAACATGTTGTTAGGATGTGTATACACAGTGGCTCACCAGGAGCCGAAATTCACTCACAAACACAGCTAAACTCTAATCATTAGTAGTCTAAATGATCCAGAGCTCTTACAGTTGAGCCATGCATATTAGAGCACATAGGTAATACATGTGTGAAAACTCACGGAAAATCATGTTGCACTTACAGATGCCCTCAATTTTGATAATTGGAGTTGGAAACAAATGTTACCCCTTTCCCACACTTGCCCCCAGTTTCTTAGTTTCGTGAGTTTGAATAGCGATGTAATAGGCACAAAAGTTCTCTTACACTGTTCCCTGTCCACACAAGACCATCCCTCTGTTAATGTCTCCAAGCCATTAACTTGGGAGTTCTATTTGCGGGTGCCAAGAGTACAACAGTAAATCCAGATAGCTGTTAGTGTGAGATTTTGTTGTCACTTTACACTCTATTTACTGATCTAAGCCCAGGAACTTGTGTCCCTGCCAATGCGAGAGACAGTAAATTTGTAATTGAAAAGCAGTTAATAATTTCCATTTTCTCCTGAAGCAAACTGTGCCAGAACAGGGGGATAGTAAAATGCGGCTGATTCGAACAGCAGGTTAAGTGTGTATCATGGGATTCTGTTTCAGTGCAAAGTCGTGGAGACATGCTGGTGACTCACCAACATCTTTTAATGGGCACAGAGGGCTACTGGGTCACTTTTGCTCACCAGAATTTATGCAACCCCTGACTAAAGGGTTGATGTCCTTCTCTGACCCCTTACCTGTATGTTCTGAATAAAGCTAGGTTTCTTACTGAGAAATCATTTGGAAGCCAATAAAAGCAAATGCACTTATAACATAAAGCTACAGAGGGTTATATCCCATACCGGTGAATAAAATGCTTGGAGTTGAAACAATAGATTAAATGTACCGTATGAAAGCTTACTATATATATTATTCATTGCTATTTCAGACTGGAATCTTTGAATTAAACATGACGAATATTTAACCACATGGTACGCAGGCAAGTGGTCATCTCTCATCTGCCTCAAATCCCCCCATTCAGTTTCCCTGAAGATTAGTTGTGAATGCAGTTTCCAAGCAGTACTGTAAAAGTTTCCCATGTCTTTAAAGAAATCAAATAAAATGTATGCCTGCTGCTTACATATAATCTGTATTTTAACAAAGCAAAAATGCAAACAGTGCAGGAACATTACCTGAATCTGGCAAAAAAAGAAGAAGAAAAGCTATAGCTGTTTTAGGAATAGATCATTGCATGATTTGACCCACAGCTCTTTCTCTGGGGTCAAAAACACTTCATTTTCCAAGAAAGAGAAGCCAGAGATGCCTCACAGACAATAAAACACTGGGTAAAAATACACTGGAGCTTCCATAAAATGATTTCACTATGCTCTAAAACTCTGGCCTACAGAACATGATGTACCACATCAAAATCTACAGTCTATCCAATCAAAACACAGCCAGATGTTAGAATGCTCTGACCAAACGGGATGACGATAAAGGGGATGTGAATTTACACCTACTGAGCAAATAAATAAATAATAATAATTAAAAATAAATGAGAATATATGATCATGTAGGCTTAAACAAACTTTCGAACTTTTTCTATCCTAATGAATCGTCTGCAATGTTCTGAACGAGCTTGGATTGCAAAATGTTTACTGCAAGATAACCAAGGTAGCTATGAGGAGACCTCAGATCTTGGCTTCAGATCAAAACCAGTGAAAATAACTGTTAAAGCACTGTGGTATTTAAACCTGCACCTACAGCTGACTATAAAGATCAAGAGTGGATCCCAACAGCCTTTCCTACTCTGCATCCTAGCTGTCAACATGTGCAGCGTCAGCCATGATGTCATAAAAGAGCAACTGGGAAACAAGAGGTTGGCAAAGATAAAAACAACAATCTGACAAACTGTACAGATTACATATGGCATACGCAGACACACACAGACACACTGCATGACGTGGCGTGCGGTGTGTCCGGGACACTCGGATTTAGGGCCAGCCTCTAGCAAAGTTGTTTTCCTGGAAGAGTTGGGGATGACATGGAGCACTGAGGAATGTACAGAGCAGTTAGGCAGCAGCAAGGACTTTCTCAAGAGGGAACTACGTGTGTGCATGTGTATGTCTGTGTTTTTAGTATAAGGGATGAACTTCCTTCAAAACCTGCTGCTTTTCAGAGCCTAGTTACAGTTAGGACAGCTCAGACTAAACTGATGAACCGCATTCCCCAAGTTAAAGTCTTAAAAAAATATTAAGCAATAGTCATTACTGCTGTCAACACACACGATATAGTGTCCTTGATAGCGTTTCAACATGATTATAACTGATAATAGTCCTCCTAAAGTCTTTTTTGGCTGCTCATCAGATCCAAGTCACTGCCTTCCTGTGGAAATGATAAAAAATCCAGCCCACTTATGTAATGCTCTAATATTCCACACTCCAGAGTTTTGAAATCTGTGATAAATTACATCAACCTTTTGAGTTTCCAGGGACCTCTTAACTGAGTCTGACTGGGCCTCTCTTTACAAGTCTGTCATCGCTTGTTTAAGTGTTCACTGTCACTTGCACGTCATTAGGAGAGATCCCACTCTGAATAAATTTTATCACCAAAAAGAAAATGAGCAGTAATGTAAACCATTCTGTTCACATGAGAGATGGCGTTTTTAACTTTTCATCAGGATTCTGTTGTATTGAAGACAGATTGGATCACACAGTGTGATGCAATTACAGCTGTAGCTACTGGATTTGTTTAACGGCTTGTGGTAACTAATCAACTTCCAGTTCATTATTTTCTAAAAGTCAAGCAAAGGTTTTGCATCATGCAGACTATTTTGCAAAGACACTCAGTTTACTCTACAAACAAATGCAGACTGCAGTAGTTGCTGCAGCGACAGCCTGTGGCTGGAGCACGCAACTACCCAAAAAGTACCTTCAATGATGGTCAACCGACTTCTTCGACCTTCTGTTTGTTAAAGTGCAACAATTAAGAAATGTGGGCGTCCATTTTTCCAGGGCTGCCCACAGCTTCTGAGTGGTTAGCTATTACGTTGTTTTCTTATGTCCACGCCATTAATTGGAAGTCAATAGCTAATTGGCTCGGCCCATTTGACTTAATTGATTTTTCTCGGATTAAGCAAATGACACGCTCAAATTCCCCGAATAAGAGGCCTGAAATTTAAACAACTTCGAAAAAGTTTGATTATATGAGTCTAAAATAAACAGAGGGCTGGGCGAGAGCTGCTTCGGGATGCAAGGCATTGTTCGTTTAAACGTTTAAACTATCCAACTTTGCACATGGCTAATTTTATTACCTAATAACATGACTTCCAGCTTTTTACGGTCCACCCGAAACCTCTCCTCAGTCCACTCCGGGTCTGGCAGCGAGTGAGGGCCGCTGAGATCCTCCTCTGAGCCCGGCAGAGGAGAGTCTGTGCTGCGCTCGCTGTTGGAGCCCTGGTCCGACTGCTGCAAGTATCCGCTTAAAGCGTCGCACTGGGCAGCCATTGTGCTGCACGGAAACTTCTCCAGCGGCCACTGCGTTTAACTCAAAGTTAGGTCGAGTAGCAGGAAAGCGCCGTTACTTCTGCTACTTTTTATTCCGTCACTTCGAGTCGTTGTGGAAGCTCATCTCAACGCAGTTGTGACCTTCCTCTGCAGTTTTCTTTAAGCCCCTTCGTTTCCCCCCATTAGGCAGGCTTCTAAAAATAGGCAGGCGCACACGGAACCACTCGCTATAGGTTGTCTGGCGAGTTAACGGACGGCCACAGTACACGCACCAAACATACCAAGCAACTCCTCAGGAAAGTTTCACGTGTCATCCTGCAAAAAAAGCGGGACTCCTCCCAGAAACTTTTCTCGAGGATCTATACCTCCCCCTGGGTTTCTGAGAAGTTCCCCAAACTTGAATATGTGAGAGTTTTTGGTTTTGATTTGTGCTTATGCTCGTAAGGGCACAACGTGTATGTCTCATTTTTGGGAAACTGTTGAGGGATTATATTGCCATTTATAGTCACGGAAATCATAGTTATTATGAGTCCAAAATTATACTAAATTACCAGCAGACGTGACAATTAAGTCACTATAAATAATTAGACACAAAGACAGCTTTGACATGTATATAAACCAATTTTGCTGTGACTTTTTCCCCTCCAAACAGCCCTAGGCAAACTATCTATTGGTTTATAGAGGAAACACTAGAGTGGGAAAGGGAAGTAATACAGGAAAGAGAAAACAAAACAAAAGGGAGTGTTGAGGTCACTCAGTAAAGCCCGCTATGGACATCCAGAGTTATTCATATTCACTGATCTCAGAGATTTGTCCTCTACAACAGGAACAGCATTGCTAATCTTTATTTTGATTTAAATGTAAGGTGCCACCTAACGCTGTGCTTGCCAGCCAATTCATACATAAAAAAACCCTCCATGTTAACAACCCTAATGTGGCAGATGGAGCTTTTATCACACTGCAAACTAATCATGTAGCCGCAGGACCACAGTTCTTGGCCTAATTCATTTTCCAACTTCTTCCTGAGATCTGGGATTAAAAGCGGTAATTATTAAGTACCTGACAATTTTATTCTAGTCTTATGAGAGAAGTTTTAACTGCATTTCTAAAAATGCAGATGAGCTTTGCCATCTGTTCCCTTGAGCTAAAGTTTCAAAAAATTATGTCAAGGGTAAAGCAACCACCTGAATGTCCTACATGCTTATTTAAATGGTCAGAAAAAAAAACACTAGGGTGCTTGCTTTTTGGCAGGCTGTAAGAGTTATTAAGACCAAGACAATCCAGTTCAGGGTTGTGGAGAGTTGAAGGTGGGTGGGGGGCTGGAGCCTCTCCCAGCTGCCATAGGGTAAGATGCAGGGTATACCAAGGGCAGGCCACGAGTCTGCCAAGGGCTAACACACAGAGACAGACAAGCATTCACACCTACAGCCAGTTTCACTAGATTCAAGCCCAGGACGTTGTTAGTGTGAGACAACAGTACAAGTAGTCTTCTTTAGACTATTAGTAAATCCAATAGTCTGAAAAAGTCACATCAAATATTGCTGGAACTTATCAGCTTACTGTGCAACTATTAGGTTTTCTTAAAAACAACCTTTAACATCCAGAACAATACAAAATGAGAAAACAAAGTCTGAATTATTTTTCATTGGAGGAATGTTGTATTTACTGCAGACTAAAACCAGACTACATCATGCATGCAGAATACGTTTATGGTAAATAAAGTAAAAATGCACAAAGAAAGCCATTTATATCATTATAATTACTGACATATGCACAAACTGTGCTTTTCTCTCTTGATCCATTGGCAAAAATTGCTTTATTTTAAAATGCAGCAAGATTTAAATTATTGACAGAGATGCTCACACTTTATGATAAACCTTCTAAGTCGTTTGCAAATTGAAGCCATTTTGTGAAAGCAGTGGTTATAAAATAGTGTAATAACAGCTGGGCAAACATGCTTGAGTTCGATTTTAAACAGGAAGTGCTCCACTTATATGGAGACACGAGCTTCATCAGCACAAAGGAAGGAGCAGAGATGATGGTAATGGGTGGTCTGATTTCAATTGACAGAACAGGCCTCATTTTCAGTTCATAGCCAGAGCAACACTCCATAATAGCCACTATCCACACAATTAACCATTTAGCAAATGGGCCTGAATTAAATGTAACACAAACATGAATATTAAAATTATCCACCAGACATGTTTGGCAAGTAAAAAGTAAAGACTGCCACCTAGTGGTCAGGTTTATGACACCAAGACTTGGTTGTAGAAATGAAGAGTTATCACTGAACCATTTTCAGTTTAGTTCTGAGTACTCCTGAGAAACAATTATAAATTCACTTTTTGCATAATATTTTAATGCAAAAAATCATGAAAAATAAATTCAGTATCATTCCATACAGCAAAAATGTAAAAGAACCTCCCCAAACTTCCATCTCATATCTAATAATAATAATAATAATAATAATAATGCCAATTTAAGAGAATAAAATAAAAATAAAAACTAAAAGCAGTTAAGTCAAGTAAGGTCTGGGTAGAGAAAGTGCTTCAAGCATGTCAAACACCTCAATTAGAACCAGTGAGGATAAAGCAATTAAACAGTCATATTCTGAGGTGTTGAGGGATGCGTCTTTGAGGCAGCTGGAACATCAGTCCTTCACATTGCATACCTTTGGGTCCATTCCCTGGCAATTTTGTTGTACCTAAAGAGAAAGAAAATCATGTTAAGAGAACTGTGTACTTGTGTAATTGTGTTTTCTTAACAATCGGCTTCGTACTTACTTTTGTCTGTCTGATTTATAAATATGCGCGATGTCAGGGACTAGGGGATCATCTGGATTTGGGTCACAAAGCAGTGAGCATATGGATAATAAAACTGTTGAAACAAAGACACATAAGAAAATAAATGGATTAATTTAATTTAATTAAATCACCATGGACACTTTAAGAAAGTTGTTTTTTTTTTCAAGCTCCTCATATACACAAGAATAACTCTAAATTTGAAATACAAACAGATGAGCTTTGATTTGATGTACATTGACATCAAAATCCTGTTAGTGTAGGTCTTTAGTAAGTGTATTTAAACATAAAAAACATGCATTTGATATTTTTCTGACAGAAGTGCACAGAGTGCAGAGGTCACATTTCTGGATAATCAACCCTAAAAAATCCTATTAGCCATTTTCCTAAGGGCTAGAAATCATTCACTTGGAAGACTCCAGACTTCGTGACAAGACAGCGGATTGCTTCACCAAAGGGTCTTTCATTGCGTCACTGTGTGCATTATAATGCATTATCCTCATCTTTGAAATTCCCACCTCATGTTATGTTTTACCCAGCATTTCAATTAGCTGTTAATTATATTGATTTATTTAAAAAGTTTCATTTCCTGTGACTTCAAAATAAAATGGATGCAAAACAGATACAGATCTGACATGGTACTGCTGTAATTTATCCATCCACACTGATACATTTACATTTTCAAATAACACTGCTGCAAACTCGTTACCTCCGCTTAGATCTGATAAGGCACATCGTATGGAGACAGCAGTAGCATGAAAAAAATCCTATATTTAATTGCACGACATTTACTAGCATAGACAACAGGGTCAGCACTGACTATGATTAGTTATCCATGCTAACTACTAGTAATCAATAGATGTCTTTGTTTCCTTCTCTAGACTGCATAAGAATCGGGACCACCATGAAGTCATCGACAGGTTAATCGAGTTCCCTTGTGAAGCTACAAGATGAATGTTTTTGTTGTTGCAGAAAGGTGGATCTGACTAACTACATGCCAATGAGAAAACCCTGGTTTATCCTCCTTTATATTTACCAAAATTTTAAAAAATAACTTTTATGTTTTATATAGTATAACCTGAAAACTGCAAAGTATTGTATAGCAAAGCATGGGAACTGAGGGCTGTTTTTTTGTGGATTAAAAGTGCCTTAAATGCAAGTTTAAGGCACTTTGGAGTTGTTCAGTTTTTAGAACTGGAAACTACAGCCATCTTTTACACTATTTTTTTTTTCATGCGAAGGAGGATGACGAATTAGGGCAGGACAGGTAATAAGTAGCTGCTGTCCTTACTTCAGCTGGAGCACAAGGTCACAGGTAGTGATGAGTGGCTAGGGAGTAGCATGTGTTTTAAACGGCCAAGAAAACCTTGGCATACAGGAGGACATCTCTCTTAAAAAAAGCATGCAAGTGTCAGAATGATTAAGATTTATACTGTCATTGCTCGTATCAAACAGGTAGACCATCTTTAAATAATTTAAACATGGCATTGTTGCTTGGCATCAGGAATTGCCTTGCTGAATTTGTATTAGTCATATGGTAAAGGTAGGCGTATACCCCTTTTCACTGAATCCCATGTATGCGCTGAGATGCTGTTAAGTAACGTGCAGACTCCAGCTACTGGGTGTAATATAAGCACAAGTCAAGATAATAATGCTGGAATCCAGTTATAAGAGCAAGAGCAGATATCCTGAGTGCACATGAATTTCTAAACTAAAACTTCTTGTCCATGCTAAAACACAAAACAGGATGAACAGTTATTCAAAATCTCTCAGTTTTAGGGGTCCTTAAAAACCAGAGTACAAATAAATGTATCAAATACAATGAATCATAAAGCAAAAATGAATGGACATGGATTTGGTTACCTTTTGATACTGTAAGTGCAGGTGACCACTGTGACCTCAAGATGTCAAGGCAAATGCTACCATTGCTGTTTATGTTTGGGTGATAGATTTTCGTAGTAAAGGCAACCTGTAAATGAAAGCAAAGCACACATGTGCAAAATTAGCTCTAGTTTAAAAAAAAAAATACTGTAACAACTGGATCTAATAACAATATACAATATTCATTAATCATTTACTCTATACAATGACAAAAAATAGTGTTGTTAGTATAGTATAGTGTAGTACTTCTGAGACAATTAGTCTCAAGAACAAATACACTTACCTTTGGTGGTTTAAAGGGATAGTCAGTGGGGAAATGCACAGAAAGAAAGAAAACTCCACCATGATATGGGCTGTCATTCTGAAATAAAGTAGAAAACTGGTTTAAAGTCATACCCAACACTTCTTTCTTAATTACAGGGATATAGTCACCGGTGATACTATCACTATATCTTACCACAATATCACAGTAATGTCACAATCCTTGATGAACAAACAATTATAAGAGCAAAAAGCAGGCATTGTGTTTATATCGGTAAAACTAGTTGGAGCAGACTAGTGTCAGGGGGTTCCCCTGCCTCTCGTCCTA